GATGACCGGAGTACAAAGAGCGCCCCTCAGCCGTCAGGACGGATACAAAAAAACAAGATCAGCGCCTCGTGATACGATGATCACTACCTCAGTCAAGCCAAGCTGAAAAGAAAAGCGATGTACCATTTGACGAAACAACACCGAAAACGCCCATCATAGGGTGTGTGGAGGGGTCCTGATAAGGTTGTAAACGGGGCGACCCGAGCTCGGTTTTCGTGGGGGCTAGTTTAGCAGTGCATGCAGATGTACCATGGAAGGTAGTGGGGGAAGCCAGGAGTCCGAAAAAGTCAAGGGAAGCAGGGGCGTATGGACAGACCACAGTTGAAGGTGCATCAGAGTAAAGAAAACAAGGGGGGAAAAAGCAGGGACGGGGGCAGAAATGAAGGAGTGCAGGTAATGGCGAAGTATTATGTGAAACGGGATACCACACGAAAGGGCTTCACCCTAAAACAAAAAATCATCCATCCATCTGATCTTTCTGTAGCGCTGCCTAAGACATGGAATGATAGGCAGTAACGGAGTATAAAAGGGCGTGAAGAGTAGTAGCTAATTCTAAATTGCAGACAAATCACAGTTCTAGGGTGTGAGTAAGAAACTCGTAGGAATGATGCATGATTTTGGGTTCCGCTGAGAGCATCTTTCTTGTCTGGATCCGTTGTTCATAATTAGTACTGCCATCCGCAGTACACCCCTGCATAGAGTTGAAGAAGAAATGACTTTTCACATATAGCTGCACTTATGTTTTTGCCACATACTGATCGAGCCCCACCGATTGGCGTCGTGCAGAGCGGCGAGCAAGGGGCTGCACCACGAATACGATATACACGAGGCACACGCTAGTGGGGAGTTGCTGCGCACAAAGTGCAGGAAGATGTGTACGAGAGATGCATAGAGCAACGACACACACACCACACACCACACTCGCAGTCCATGGGAGGGGCAGGGAGATGGCTGTGAAGTACGTTTGTGTCACAGTTTGACACTGTCTGCGTGATGCTTGTAGGCGATGAACGCACGTTCACACTGCGCACTACCCACACATACATTATACCATCTGCCATGTTGGATGAATTGTAGGAAGGAAAGTGTTTGGAATATTCTATAGGAGAGGTCCGTAACACTATTACATATCACAGACTGAAGTCAAAGGTGGAGCGTCCAAGGCAAAAGGTGAGAGGATCAACTCAGCAGTAGCCTACATCAAAGGTCGTTAGTGTGACCTGCCGCCGACAGTGCACAGTAGTACAACTGTCTTACGCAAGGTTGCAAGTCATAGTGAACTGATCGCGAATATTGTGGAAATGCGGTGGATGTACAGGGGACACGATGCTGCGCGTGTGGTTCGCGTGAGTTCCTTCTAGTAAAACAAATGACTAGGTATTTTATTCAAAGCACAGACAACCTCTATACATGCTATGTCTAGATCAAAGGATCTTTTCTCTGCACGTTCCTTGGTCTGGCTCCAACGCAGTCGCGGCAGAGAGGACGAGAGGGTCTTCTTACTGCTCGCGCTGCGCAACGCGCGTCACACTCTCCTCGCATCGTAAGCCTTGAGCACACCGTGGACCCGAGCGATGATTGCATTTTCCGTGCGTCAAGAACGTCGCGTACTTTGCCTGTGACATACGAGCAGTACGTACGTACGGGCGTTGAGGCATCGCATAACCTAGCGCTCAACTAGAGCAACAGGAACACGCTGCGCTGAAATCAAGGTCGACTGTGTTTAGCTACATTAGCGGAAAAAGAGCGGATTGTCCTACCAGCAAGGTGACGCGAATAGACGAAAGCACAGAGGATCGATGGATAGATAGAGGACCCACAGCGAAAAAGACACATGCGACGAGCCTTGGCGGGTCGGCCGATGCGCAGGAAATACGCTACCGTGCCACTAGGATTGCGTTAGAGGAGCCGCGGACCTTCCCGTCGGATCGCGTGGGGTCCGGGCGGGGCGTGGCGACTGCTAGACTTAAGCATAATAGCGGCAGACCCCTACGCGAGGTGACTGGGTAACGAGATTGAAAAACAGACAGAATAGCAGCGGAGCCGAACGTGCGGAAGAGAAGGCCGAGATAATAGACGGCAGTTCGCGTGCGCGAGCTGTCGTGCACAACGCTGATCATGGTAGAGGAGGCTGGATCACGAGAACCAGGAGCACGAGCGCGAAAGGAGTGCGAATGAAGCGTGAAAGAGGAAGAGAAGTAAAAAATGGAGAAATGAGTAGAGTGAGTCTTTGGAAAATGGAGAACACGAGAAATGAAATGGCAGACTGACTGTGCAGACTTGTCGGCCACCGTAGGAATCTGTGCATTGAGCGATAGGCTGCAGTAGAAAGACATCCACAACCTCGACGGTACAAACGTTAGTGAGAAATTAAGCGCATCAGCTGGTTCCAGTAAGGAGTAATCGGGTCTAAAGAAGATGAAGATGACACGAAAATTGTGAAATGACCGTACGTATGAGCGACTCTCGCGTGAGAACTGATGTGCGTATGAACCTATTTGGGACATAGTGTAAGGTAGATACAATATGGAACCCGTGGTGTGTGTTAAGGCATAGTCTAGCGCACTTCTCCCGAGTTGTCGCAGGCGTTGTGTACGGGATCACGTGAGATTTGACGCTGGCCATCCCTACACAATAGAGCGTCTAAGAACCGACGCTCTGCATAGTTGACAGCATTGGCGACAAACCATTCCATATACCAATGTAGCTACAACGCACGACCACACAATAATAGATCATACTTTTCAATACTCTTTTTCTATGGGAGGAGTTAGTACAATAGGTCTATATAGGAGGGTGCAAAGAGTTTGAGAGTTTTCGCTAGCCCGTGGTGGCGCTTACACACAACTATTTAGATCCTACGTCCCATACACGCCCAAGAGCACACATAAGGACAGCTGTGGACAGAGGGCCGTTCACCAATCTAAAATATTCACCTGCACTCCCACACCTAGGACAGCCCTGCCTTATTTATGGAAACAGGCCGGGGGCCTCTGTGTGTGTGCATAATAACACGAACCTTTAGCATAGTTACTTGCACTGAATCATGAATACGGAAGATACATTTTTCACCTATCTCAACCGAGGTGCGTGACTTGAATCTCTGAAGCTTGCTTCTTCTTGCTTCCCTTCAGCTGCTGAATGACGGTTGCTTGTAGGTGAGCGAACCAGATAACTCTAACCGATCCCATCTTTAGTCCATCAAGCATCATCACGCAATCTGGCAGACCAAATGTGTCCAAGAAATGCTTACGAAAATCCTCCAAACTCTGCAGTGTAGCAGTTTCAGCAAATTTATGTTCCGTCACCATTTTCTGAAATCCCGGAGGGGTGAAATCAGTGTGAAGAACAGCTTTGCAGTACAACAGTAGACTAGTGTCCCGCCTAAAACTTTCTACATCCTGCATATAGAGCAACATTTCAGTTTTATGAGCATGCAAGCCGCCTTTAAGAGTGTGTTCATCGAGCAATTTCCTCAGGAGATTGAAAGAGAGATAGTTCCAGTACAAGTTCAGGTATCCAAAGACGTCCCAATTATCCTTGCATTCATGGAGATCTTTTGTGTATCTACGGTGGACTGCCTGTCCCTGACGTTAAACCCAAGGATAGTGTTGACCAAAGTCACAACCGTAACCACCGCAACCTGACATTTCTCCAGACACTGTATGGTTGACTTTCTGATGGATTGGAATCTCGTGCGAAGACTTTTCACCCTGCCTTTCAATGAATCAACTGCAAATTTGAGAGAATTGGTTGCTGATAAAGCTTTTTAAGGAACTCTCTTGTTGGCTACTACAGTAAAAGGACAATAATTATATAGAGTGTGCTACTATCATTATTATGTGGCAGACTTCCTTATATGGTTATTAAGAGTAGTTCAGTGGCCGGGCTATATACCCTCTTGAATGGCAAAAATGCACACTGGGAAGCGGATAGCTATGTAGCATGTCGCTATGTAAATGGGAACCAAAGGCCAGGACTCCGAGTGCCACAAGGGAGATGTTGGCACAGTTGTGACGTAAGTGTAAGTACTAGGCTTGCGTCGATTATGCTCGGCATAATATGAGCATTTTAGCAGTCTAAACACGCTCGAGAATAATACCAGCATAATAGCAAGATCGCCATTTATGCGCATGCGCGCAACCATGGTTCAAGGGTCAATGAGGGTCAAACATGTGACTATTGTACTGAGACGGCGACTGCCAAATTGTGGACGTGAGAGAGACAAAGACTGCATGCGAGAGAGGCCATCGAGTCCTTGGAACGGTTCAAAACTCGATTCAAGACTAAGTCAGCAACCATCCAGTTAGCCATGGCAGAGGTGCATGATGCATCACGATCGTCTAAAAGCAGCGCCGACACGGAAGATGGATCAACCAGTACCAGCTCCAGTGACGGTCACAAATCTCTTCTTAGCAGCTGATGCATCACGTGAAATCGAACCACTAGACTGGTGGAAGCGTCATGAAACTGACCTGCCCAAGTGGTCTGGAGCAGCTCGCAAGATAGTACTGGTGCAACCATCTTCGGCCGCAGCAGAGCGTGTTTTCTCGATTTTGCACTGCTCCTTTGGCGACAGACAGCAACATGCACTTGAAGATTACATTGAAGCTTCTGTACAATTACAATACAATAACCGCTAATGTTATGTGTTTTATATAGTGTCTTGTTGTTCCTTGTTGCATTGAAGTGGGCATAATTTGAGATAAAGAAAATATCATAGGAATAATAGCAATTTTAAACAAAATTAAGGAATAGCATTATAGCTAGGAATGTTGAGCATAATAGACTCAAGCCTAGTAGGTACAGTACCACTAATTGATGGGCTGAGCTCTTTTTACTACTTACTCACAATCTGTTGCAAGCTCACTGACACAGGCTAGCTACAGATAGCATGCGAGAGTTGATATTCACCCTGCCACAATGAAAGAGGGCTCTAGGCCCAAGAGTTTTACGATACATGTGTGCAAACATGTATCCCATGTGGTTACGACTTACGAGGGATCTTACCAAGTTTTGGCTTTGATTTGACTTCTTCATCAAGAGTATGAGAGCTGGGCAATTTCTCTGCTAAATTAAGTGGATAATGCAAAGGCAATGACACAAGTACACATACTCACTGGTAAAAGCTGATTCTATTTCATCTGCTAGGTCAGGCACATCTACTTCAGGACTCCTCAGAGCTTCTCCGAAAGCCTTCCAAGTGGGCCTGGACCCTGAAGCGCTCCGCGTGGACTCGATCAGAACTAGAAACAGGCGATCTTGCGGCTCGGAAAAGGTGCGGTGGATGTGCTCCACCACTGGTTTGGAAAGTCCCAGTTTGAGACCGAGTTGACGGGAGCTGATCCATGTCGGCAGAAGTTCACTCACTAGGTCAGCTGCATCGTCTGGAGTCAGCTTCTCTTCGGATGCTGGGAAATATATGTAAGAGGTAACTACTAAGATACGCAGAGCAATGCTAGTTTGCCTAACCGACTGCCATTCTTTTTTTGGAGAAGTCGGAGGCACGGAGAGACCAGAGAGAGAGCTAGACCAAGCTAGCAGCTAGATAAACAAGCCACAACCTTAAACTGAGGGGCCGGGGGCCGGGGGCATGGGGGCGGCTATAGTGCGTGCACTCATAAATGTCCATAATTTTGAAATAAAATTGCGCGACCGAAAAAATTTTTGCCGGCCCGGCTCTTTCGCTATGTGTAGTACGTCTACTATAGCGTAGTATGTCCAAATTTTGCTCTATTTGTACGCAGTACAAACGGCCTAGCCTAAGTTGAAGGATTGACCAATCAGATTGATGGAAAAGTCCGGATATTTCCGCGCACGTTCGGCTACGCGATGTTTATGAATTATTAATGAGGCGTTCTTTTCGGTGGTATTTCTGGTCCTGCGATATTCTCGACTGTTTCTGCTCTAGCGATCGACTTTTTCTGTTACCTCTGGTATGGAGAGCACTCCCAAGACCCCGTGGTCTCGAAAGAGAAAACTGAAAGGGAAGATGGAGCTATTGCGGGAGGCGAAGCTCCCAAAATCTGACACGCCGACTTCGCCTGCGATCGGCGACACTCAGCCCGAACCCACGACTTCTGGAACACCAGGCGAGTCCTCTGAGGCTCCTTCTGGATCCCTGCAAGCTACTGCTGGAGAGCATGAGGCAGAAGCATCAACAGAGTCGCTCGATGAGTCCCTACGTGTTCCTGTCACCGCGCAGCTTAGTGAAGATGATTCCAGTGAAAGCGACGAGGACAGTGAGAGCTTCAGCAATGATGATGCACGACAGGTATACCAAGGGTGGCTTAAGGAGCAGCCCAAGCATGTCGTCAAGATGATGGCAGTCATGTTCATGGATGCCCTGATCGACAGGTTCAACATGACATCACTTGGTGCTGCGAATGAAGTTGGGCTTGTTCTTAGCCACAATGAGAAGACGATCCGCACATGGCGTCAGGATTTCTATGCCAACCACGGTCACTTCAGTGAATCAAGGCAGGGAAAACATGCCCGTCTCTTCATTTTGGATGACGAAGGCTTGCGGCACAAGGCGGCAGAGTGGGTTCGCGCAAATGCCACAGTCAAAGGAAGGCCAAATATGACAGGTGCTAAGTTTTGCGCATGGGTCAACACCCATCTTCTTGCTGATCATGAACTCCCACCAGGGTGTCCACACCAGATACAGCCACGTACAGCAATCAAGTGGTTGCACCACCTCGGCTTTCGACCACAGTCACACAAAAAGAGTATTTACATTGATGGGCACGAGCGAGAAGATGTAGTCAAGTACCGGAAGCTGTTCCTTAGAAAACTAGACATCCTCTCTTCAACGCATTTGCCACCTCCATCATGTGAAGATGGACTGACGGCTGTCCAGACAGGAAATCCTGCTGCATCCAAGCACCTTGTTCTCATCTTTCACGACGAGTCAAGCTTTCACGCCAATGAAGGACAATCCGTCATGTGGGCTGAGGAGGGGAGGGTTCCGATTCGTCCCAAGAATCAAGGAAGGGGGTTGATGGTCAGCGACTTTGTCACGGAGTTTGACGGTCTACTGCAGTTAAGCATTGATGAATACAGGAAAGCAGCTGAATCTGATCCATCCATTCGAATGTGTGCGCGGGAGATCATCAAATTTGGATCAGGAAACGATGGGTACTGGAACAACGCTAGATTCCTAAAACAAATGGAAATGGCACTCAAAATTGCTGACATCAAGTACCCATCCGACAAGTACAGTAAGGTGTGGGTGTTTGATCAGAGCAGTGGCCACTGCGCTTTTAGAGAAGACGCTCTTAATGTTAACCGAATGAATGTGGGTTCAGGAGGTGCTCAGTCTCGAATGAGAGACACAATGTGGGATGGGAGGGTGCAGAAAATGGTTTTTTCTGATGGGCGGCCAAAGGGCATGAGGATCGTACTTGAGGAACGCAGAGTTGACACTTCTGCAATGAAAGCGGCCGACATGCGGCTTGTGTTGGGAAGTCATGCTGACTTCAAGAATGAAAAGACGGCACTTGAACATTTGGTGCAAGAGAAACAACAGCGTGCTATATACCTCCCCAAGTTCCATTGTGAACTTAACCCCATCGAAAGGGTTTGGGGAGAAGCCAAACGTTATACACGATCACATTGTGATTACACCTTTGCTGGTTTGGACCGTACCGTAGTTCCTGCCCTTGAATCTGTTCGGCTTGACACAATTCGAAAGTACTTTAGAAAATGTAAGGAATACATGCAGGCTTATCTGGAAGGCAATGCAGGAGGAAGTAGTGTTGAAAAGGCAGTCCAAAAGTACAAGTCGCATCGGCGTGTTTTTGGAAATGTTGAATGACAATTTATTCTGTTTTGTTTTGCTCTATTTAGATAATCTTCTTTGTATCTTTAATATAACCCTTCATGCACTTTACTACCAATTTTCAGTTGTAACCCACACTTCATTATCCGGAAATTTCTCATTTTACATACCATGCGATCTTGAACAAAAATAATTTTAATACTTCACACGAGCAAAATTTGCCCAAAACCTTCTTTGAAAAGGTAGATCTTTATTAGTTCTTTCCACCATAAAAGTTTAAGAAAAAATGTTAAAGAGGAACAGTTCAAAATTTCTAAAGAAAGGAAATTTAGTATGTAACAATGGTTAATTAGTTCAAAGGTCGTTACCATGGATACAAAGTATGATAAAAATGTAGAACATTCATCTATCATGTCCATCCTCAACTTAGAAAATCATAGGTCACTCCCTCACTGAGTTATAGTAAATCATACTCATGACATTCCTTGTGGACATTTATGAGTGCAAGCACTATATGCATCGTGCAAGTTCTATAGCTATGTATATCTTGGTCC